GGTGCTGGGGGGGGGGGGGATATATCAAGTGTTTAAGCTTACTTTTAACCTTGCAGAAACCAGTATTTGAAGAATGTTGACCCAGTGAATCCAGTGAGACAGTGTTTACATCTAAATATAAGATCATACCTTGCAAAGTTGGTAGTGCACAAGTTGAAGATGTTAGCAGCGCTTTTCCTCTCCATGAAATATGCCATTTCTGATTCATGTAGCAATTGATTCTGAATAATTACATTTCATTTGCCCATATTAAAAAAAAATATATATTTTGTTCATTGGTACTTTGCCCTCACTGCTTCCATTTTACCATCGGAACATAGTTACTATGGATTTGCACTGGCGTTGTTGTATTTGGAAAATTCATTCTAGGTTACTTAATAACATGATCCTTTATTAGGCTGTAAAATGCAAGAGATGGACTTTGCTTTTATCAGGTGGCAAATGTGTGGTGTGTATGATTGCTTTCAAATCTTAAACACACTGTAGGTTCTTCCAGTCAGTAGCCCTCCCAACTCAAAACATGTATAAAGTGTAAGGTTGCTTCTTTGGTTGTGTTTACTGGGGGCTTTTTTGTTTGTTTCTGCAGTCCTGATTCACCAAAGGACTCTACAACTCCAACAGCACATTCAGATCCCACGTCATGAAAGTCCATTTGCTCCTTGTTGTCATCATCATGCCTAAAGCCTTTTGGATACATTTATAAGACACACACACACAAATATCAGTTTATGTTGTGGTCCTGTTTGCAGAAATCGTGTCTCTAACAAGTTTGGAAAATTTATACGCATGCAGAACAAATGGAAGCAGGGAAAAGGTAGAAGGCAATGTCCAATTTTATGTTACCTGCAGTCCTACTTTCTACTCTATATGCACTTAATTGTATTTATGTGGTTGTTTTTCTAATTTATGAGATAGCTGACTTGAGGAACGAGTTTGGGATAGAGGAATGGGGCAGTCACTGAGGGAAGAGCATCTCACTCCTTCCTGCCTAGCTAGGCTTGGCTGCAGCACCTTCTTTTCTCCCCTCCCCTTCACATTACTCCTTCTCGCCCTTCCCTACTGCAGAGGAGACGGGATGCTTACTCTGATGGTACTTGACAGTGCCTCTGGGTCAGGTGGTGGAAGACAGGGAAGACTTCTACGGCTCAGCTTTTGTCAAAGTAGGAAGTTATTCAATCGATCTGTGCTTCAAGCCGGCTCTGGCTTGATAAACTCAGTGATGGAGCAACTATTTGAAGTGACATTCCAGAAAATGATGGGAAGTTTTATGAAATTTTCATTTTCTGAAGTGTAATTCTTCTCACTTGTCTCCTTTATCCCTTATATTTCCGTACTACTCAAACAAAAATTAACTGTGTTTTTAGGAAAGGACTAGGCAGTTTTAATTATAAAAACTTAAGTTTAAGGAGAAAGGGCATAAGGCTTTTCACATAGCTCATAAAATCTTATCCCATTCAGAAAACATTTCTATAGAACTGAACTTCCTTCCAGCTGGGTAAAAGCCATCTCTGCAACCCAATAAATCAGATTACTAGCTCTTGTATTAGCAAAGTGACATTTAAAAATACATATAACACTGTAGACTGCTTTAAAAAGTTAGGATAGCCAGACCATTTCTCAAAGGAGAAAACATATTTTTTTTTTCATTCTGTCTACAAATTCACACATTCAAAATATATTCTACCTTAGAGTAGTCTGATGCAG